GCACAGCCTGTTAGCCGCTCGCTAACGATTCGAGCTTTACTTACTTCTCCAGCTTCTCCGAAATCTGCCAAACCTCTCCGGTACCGTTGGCCCCGTCCATCCCGCCGTTACAGCTGTACCTCCGCCTACAAACTGCTCGAAAGCGCGACTTTAACGATTATTTGTCCTCAAACTAAACTCCGAACTCTCCGAGGAGCCGCTGCCTGTTTCTATGTTTAAACTCGAGGATCATCCCCCGCCGATTTGTCACAGCGAATCAGAGATGACGCTTTGGGGACATGACGACTACGTTATCCAATCGGAGAAGCGGTGTTGAGTGCTATAAGGCGGGACCCCAGTAAACGTTCAGCCAATGAACAGCAGGAAAACGTTTACATTCGCAGCAGTGAGTTCAGAGTTTGAGGTTTTCCTGGGAATATCACCGAAATTCGAGCTTTGGAAAACGCCGTATTTCATCCAGTGTCTACCCCCAATTACTGAATAACAATTCCCACCATAAACACATGCGCAGGTGACATGGTTGACGCTTCCGGACTGGACAGGTTGAAGTTTAGCTGACGGTGTTTCCCTCCTCTCTGTCCTGAGGTGTCGCTCTCTGGTTTGATGTTCTCGGGACTTAAAAGCAGGTTTTGTTTATTTTGAGCTTTTTGAGTTTTTGATGTAAAACAGCTAAAAATAAAAATGTCTTAGACTCTTGTAACTGTTGAAGATGAAAGTGAAGCTTAAACCTGGGTACTTTCTAATGGCCAGCAGGGGGCGACTCATCTTATCACTTAAAAGATTCCCATAAGAAAAGCAGCATTCAGCTCCCTCTGTGACCTCATTCAGCAGTTTCAGGTCTAAATGAATGAAATACAGAGTTTATTTTGTAAATATTAGTCTGAAAAGAGGTCTCATCATAGCACAGAGCGAAAAGCTCATTTGCTCCCACCTGATGTGATGTTAGGGCGATATTTAGTTTGGCCAGTAGGTGGCAGTGGCGGCTCAGACAAACGGGTGACTGGCAAAATAATCCCTCACAAAAGTAACGCAGGCCACTTATTGTAATGGCAGCCGTCAGTAACACTGAACTGTTTTGCTGTGTTTCAGCGCAATAAACCTCCACGTGCACCTGGATGAACCTCGTCTTCCTTCAGCGTGTAACACGTCTTCAAAGTGGGTGACTTCCATCCTTTTTATACAGTCTGTGGTCTGGAAGCAGCCCAGGACATTTTACTCCAACCAGGATTTTAAAATCAGCCCATTCTGCAGAAAGGCTCATGAATAAATAACCTCGGCAGTAAAAGACGGTCAATGAGTAAACGCTTATTAACCCCGATTCTTTTGTCCCCGTGACAGAACAGAGAAAACCGACTCATAGTGTGTTAAAACATTTATATTTCTTTTATTCAATCATCATCCAGAAGAGAGAGACTTCTGCACAGCCCAAAACACCAGTTGCAGGATCTCTAACATTAGAATCATAAACTGTGCCTCATAAAGGTTTGATTTCTGTACTTTACACGTCACAGTTTCAAACATTGCTGATATGGCAAAGTTCCTCTTTTCTGTGTCTTATCTATTAATATGCCCGTGCACTAAAACTTCCTGTTTTCAGTCCGGCTGAGCACTTAGTTTGTGAGTCAAAAGTGGCCTTGCTCTACAAACCTTCATGATTAAAGAACATAAAACAATATAATGAGAAAATAAGGATACTAAGGATATTGATTACATGACTCTCTGATTGCAGAATGTAAAATTTCCAGATTTCTAAACGTTTGAAACTCATGAACAAAGATCTCAATCAGAACTTTGTGTGCAACAAATAAAAATCTGAACATCTGAATAAGTGTGAAACTTATTGTTCTGTAAACAAAACCGAACACAGAAGGCTCGGAATTAGCTGGAGCTTTTATTGTGAAGAGTCACAGGGGAAACAGATTTGTTTTCATGTGGAAACTAATCCTGCAGCTGTCGTTGAACTCAGCATGGCCTCAGCAGACGACACAAGCAGAACACAAACTAACAAAGGTTTGAAGCACGAAGCGAGCACGCTCGGGGGCGTGGGAGCGTTCACAGAAGAACTCAGAGAATCGGCGCCGTCTCCAGAGCTTTGACTCGAGTGGCGAACAGCAGGACGTTCTTCTCCACCTCTGCGTTGATCTGCGCCTGCGAGGCTCGCGGGTTCTGTCGCAGGAACTGTGCGATGCTCAGGACGCAGTCTCGCTGAGGACACGGAACAGAACGACATCATCATGAGGAAATGACACGCGAGCAGAGTGGCGGATGTGATCGGCGCCCCCGCTGTACCTTGTAGGCGTCAACTTTGTCCTGGCCGGTGATCCGATTCAGCAGCTCTCTGCCGACCTGGACGCCCGTCACCGCCGCCAAGATCCTCCGGTCCTCCTCAGTCTGAGAGTTCAACCATCGCATCAGCGCCACCTGCAGGAAACACGATGAGAACCAATCAGTTTTCGTCTGTAAACCCAGCAGACGTGCCACAGGTGTTTTTATGAACACAAAAGGTGAAACAGATGAACAGAAACAAGCTGGGCTCTTTATTCTCCCGTAAACTCACAAAACTAGACCAACGACAGAGCTGATGGAGAAAGACACAGCCTCCCTCTGTGCAGGTGAGCCTCAGCAGCCAATCAGGAGCAGGGACTGAACTTAAAAACGAACTGGATGAAAAACACGTGGGTATACAGAGGCTGAGGCCTGGACTGTGGATCAGGAAGTGACGTCAGGTTTAACTGTGGGTATAAAAGAGCTGCCGACAGACAGACAGACCTAAAGCGTGTACCTGCTGCCTGTGGGAAAGGAAGAGGGACAGGATAACACCTGAATACACCTGCAGGTGTAGGTGTGTCTTCAGGAGTATTTGTGGCTGTTTTCCTTTCAGCTGAGTTAGATTTTAATTTGACTCTGTTGATAGTTTGATGTTCCTGTGACCCTGTTAGGGACCCTGTTGTTGTCTCTGTTCTTATTAAAAGTCTTTTTGGTCGTTTTGATCGCACCTTTCCAGCCACGTTTAATTTACTGTGACACACGCTGTGATAAAAGTTTACATTTCATTTGTTTCACATCAGATTAAACGGATTTACCTGCTGGAATAACTGCGCGGTGCTCATCTCTCCTGTGTGGTTCGCTGACCCGGACATGACCGGAAAACGGCCCAAAAACAGCGAAAAATCCCCAAACGAAGAAAAAGGTCCCGAGATTAAACTAAAGCAAACCTCAGCAGTTCCTCTGTGTTCAGCAGCTTTCGCTGAATTTCATATTTATCCACAAATTCGACACGACAGCTTTTGTGGACGTACATGCCCCACTTCCTGTTTACATCACTTCTTCTTCGTCGCTTCAGAAGCAGCTTGGCGGCTCCACAGCGCCGCTGTGTCTCCGCGTGTTTGCTGCAGAGCTCCGACTGAGCGCTGCATCGGTTTCCATTTCTAAAGTCGATTCAATTCCGTTTTGACTCAGACGGTCAGAAATATTCTAATTCTGATCAGTTATCAGTTCATCTCCATATTTTT